ACACAGCCACACTGATTGCTTTATTTCTTGATGGTCAATGGCCTCTGTGGTGCAGATATTTGAAATTAGGATCACCTGACGATATTAAGCAGCCAACAACAACAACAACAACCTTTTCTATTGCTGAATAAATGTTTTAAGTACTGCAACAATAACAAGGTCTACATGTCCTTTTGCATAGCAGGGCTACTTGCCATATATGCACTTAAGAAAGGCAGTGGAGTACTGGTAATACCATTGGATTAGTGATCCAGAAACTCAGGCTAATGTTCCGAGGACGTAGGTTTGTGTCCTATCATGCCAGATGGTGAAATTTGAATAGAATGAATATCTGGGAAAAAAAAGCTAGCCTAATGATGTTACCGCTGTTGACTGTCATTAAAAACACTCAACTGGTTTGCTAATGTCCATTAGAAAAGGAAATCTGCCATCATTTCCTGGTCTGACATTCATGCGACTCCAAACCCACAATAATGTGGTTGTCTCTTAAATGCCTTTTGAGCAATTCGAGGTGGGCAACAAATTCTGACCCAGCCAGAAACACCTACATCCCATAAGTGAATTTTTTTTTTAAAAGAAAGAATTAAACTACTAAAGGAAGTGCAAACCCAGTTCATTTATCTTAAAGGCAAAAATACTATAGATGGTAGAAATCTGAAATAAACACAGACAATTCTGGACAAACTCAGCAAGTCTGACAACATCTGTGGAGAAAGAAACAGACTTAAAATTTCAAGTGCAGTACTTTTCTTCAGTTTTGAATTGTTAACTCTGTTTCTCTCTCCAGATGCTTCTTGTTTCAGTCATTGTGAATGTGGGTTTCAATTAGGTTCTATCTGGCTTCTCAGGCTTGATGATGTATTGCTTTGACTTGGTCCCTGCCAGTCAATGCCCTGATTTTCATCTTCATTCGCAGATAACTGCTGAGTCCCCTTTGTTTGCTCAAGTTGGGCTTTATTGCAAGACTCCACTGGAGCAGTCCAGGCATCAAGACCTCAGCTTAAGGAGGTTAATGGTCTGATCCACAATGACAGTTTGGACAGTGTTGCATTTTCATTCTGTATCCAAATGTTTTGTAAAGGGGATATCAGCCACATTGGGGAAGCGTAACACTTGTCTCCCAGCAGTCAATCCTGCATGGCTCTGGGGTCTTGAAGAGAGGAAGGATGTAAGCATCACACTAACCCAGGATATCTAGCACAGATCCCCAAAAATCTGTTATCAATAGTTATAGCTAATTTAAGTAACCACAGAGTGGAAAGCCTTCGTTACAGCTATGGACTGCATTTCAGAATTTATAAGCCTAGGGTAATGATTCTAAATTAGCGTTTGACTGCATTTGCTCTGCTGACATGACTCAGAAGCAATTTGTGTGAACAATGCAATTGTCATGATTGCTTGCAGCTGTACTTTGTAATCTGGAATCTGGAGTCTTGGACAATGAATGACCTGCAGTTTGATGTCAGATGGGTAGTATCTACTGAGTCACTGGATAGACGATTAACGCAATTGCCCCTTGCAGACTTTCAAGTTAAACAATATTACATCATCCCTGAAGGAAAACACAGTAATTTACTCCAGTCATTCTGCATGCAGTAACAACATCTTGTAATGCGATTGCACAGTTAACTTTCAATCTAAGATGGCAAAATTCTTGAGAGTGACTTGCAGGTTCCACTTGAGAAGCATCACAATTACCCTATCCATCATGTTTGCTTTTGCATTACTGTCCCCGATTTCAGTTTCCCTATTACCATTCAGCCCCTTATATAACCACTACCCTAAAATTTACTGTCCAGCGCCCCATGGTTTTGTGAATCTCCATGTCCTTCTTGGCCACACATTCTCCCAAAGTAGAGGCTAACCATAATAATTATGCCTTGACTGGTGTTGGCAGGAACCCCTGACTGCCTGTTTCACAAAAGTTACTGGCATATACTGCAGGTATGACATTAACAAAATACAGTACCATACAGCAATGTGACAAACACCTTGTCTTCAGAACGTTCAACTCTGACAAGGTGCCTGCCTCTCCCTCTGCACCAAATGGCAAAGTGAGTGACAGAGGCTACCAATCTACAACTTAACACTGAAGACTCTGTGCTCTAAAACGATTGTAAAGTCATAGAGGCTAGCAACCTCCAAGCAAGCATAGAACGAGTGAGCATTTAAAAATGAAACAGTCATATGATGCAACAAAAACAAACTTGCTGGAAAAGCTCAGCGGGTCTGGCAGCATCTGTGAAGGAGAAAACAGAGTTAACGTTTCAGGTCCGGTGACCCTTCCTCAGAACTCTGATGATATATGATGCATCCTGTTTATATGCATAAAATCCAGGTGCCCCTGCACACAAAAACAACTGACAGAAGCATGCAAGCTGGAAGTGTTTATAAGTTCCAAATTATTGAAGGACTGAAGTAATATGGGAGTTTGACCAAAAGCAGGCAAGATGACACGTCAAAAGGTGTTGTCAGCATCAGCAATACGTGTGGATGAAGGGAGGAGGGAAGAGAGGAGAATTGTGTCCATGGTACATACAGAAACATTGTGGGGAAGACAGAGGTAGATGAAGGCCGAGACAAGCAAATAGCAAGCTGTAGCCTAGTGCGCAAATCCTGAAATATGCACCATCTAACTTTCCCAATGGAGAATTGGAAATGGCATTGACTGCAGATGGTTTCAGTTAATAGATACAAATACATGGAAATAAGGTAGCTGCCATAAAGCAATTCTGGAATCACCAGTTAAAGTTTAAAGGGGCAAATTAGGATTTTTTTCCCCCCTCAGTGTCAAGATTACAATTTTCTCATTCTCACCATTGCCCACACTGCTCCAGAGAGAGGAAATTCCACCCAGAATGCTTCTCAACAGTTAGCTGCTCTCATCTTTATTCAGGTGTGAAGATTTTCTCTCGCTCTCACTGAATCTTCATTGGATGGAATTTTTTTTAAACTGATCACTTCAGTATCCCATTTTACCTTGAATTAAAAAAAGAGGACAGCTCCAAAACAATCGTCTTATTAAAAATTTGCATGCATGACAGTTTTTTTTTCCTCTGTAGAGGCATGGTAAAAATCAATTCTTTCATACGTTTCTAAATAACTACTAGTAATTAAAATTGTTAACTTAGTTTTACCCTATTGAATGAAAAGCTTTTCTTTAAAAAATGCCTGAGGAATTATAAATTAACATCTGACAGTGTTTGGCACAGTTAACTCCAGAAAACGAAATACCGCCATTGAACAATCCATTCAATGGATTGCAATCAGACTAGACAGAGCAAGAACGAGAGAGAGAGAGAAAGTCAAGATTAGGAGTTTTCTTTGCCAATACTATTTTTATACACACGCGCGTGATACCAAGCTCTAACACTGCAGAAAGTCGCTTGGCCCTTCTCTTTACGTATTTCCCGCCTTCAATTTGTCAGATCGCGTGTCTAAACAAGCTTTGGATGACTTACACTTTCCCTTGATAAAACCTGGTATGTTGAAGTAATTATTTTCAGTTCCTCCCACAAGTACTCCAGACACATTACTTCCACTCCCTGGTCTCTCAATTAAGTTTGTCAGCATTCTGTTCACTGTTGAGTTGACTTCAAAACTCACTCTCTGACACCAAAGATTCTTTCTTATTTGCATCTCAATAACATTGCCTACATCTGGCTTTGCCTCATCTACACATTGTTAAAAATCAGCTTTTTTTTTGTCACCTCCCGGGCGGATTACTCAAATATTCATCTTGCTGACCTCTAAACCTCCAACCTTCATTAACATCAACTTTTCTAAAACTCATCGAGTGCCACGTTAAGTCTTAACTTCTCATTTTTTAGCGACTCATAATGGTTGGTTGGTCGCTATTGCTCTAATGATCCTTTGTACCAATCAATTTTCAGATTCGGATATTAATGCACTCGCTTGATTAGCATAGTCATTAAAATTCGAGTTGATGCGGGTCGGTTGTAATGAGCTGTTTAGTAGCGCCGTTCCGTTTGATAGGCGGCTTCCCTGTAAACATGCCATACGTTTGAAAAATCTTCTGTTTGTCTCATCTTTTTGTGGATACCTGTCATTTGTCATGGATGAAGTGCAGAAGTAATCCGCCAGATTCTTTGCTATGAAGTCTTATTTAACCTCTAACATTTTGTACCTAAAGCAGCTGATGGTCGTGTGATAGTTCATTAAACTTCAAATATCTATTGCGGTCGAGAGGCTGAACGTTAGGGAAACTCGTGCTTCCTGGAGGATCATGTAACGGCTTATGGTCCACAACTCGTTCAATGCCGCAAGGTCCTATGCGCGTCACAGCTCCTGCTCCAAACATCGAGACTAGTTGGCTGACATACTACTCCCATCATTTTTGCAATTCCTTTAACGCTTTGAATTAATGACAACGGCATTCACCGTTACCGGTAATAATCAAACTTAATTTTTTTAATTCTGCAAATAATCAATAAAATATATAACTAAACATAATTGTAGGTCTGTATTGTAGCAAAAAAATGATGTAAATTGATCAATTTATGTATGCTCTTAAAATGTGTATTAAAACTCTTGAATTAAATAATAATAGATATTGATTTTTCAAATATAATAAATCTAAATATGTCAGGACATGCTCCCTTAATCTCTCATTTCAGTAAGTAAATTTTACCCATTAGACATGCTAACTTTTAACTTAATTGATTTCTCTTCTTTCAGTAGTTAAATAAGCAATTAGTAATGTATTTACATGGCATGTTATGAGAAGCATTTAATTATATCTTGAATAAAAGATTGAATTAATTCAATGGTAAAAGTTTAGTGTTCACAAGAGAATGGATTTTTTTTTAAATTCAGCTGGATAAAAGCTGGGGGTTTGGTAATGATTTGTGCCAGTCAGGAATGAAAAGCTCTTTTCATTAATCTAAAGCATGTGATTCTGAGTTTGAGGAGAAAGTCAAAGTTATGCATTGACTCCTGACTCTGCAGTGAGCCAAGGTAAAAGAAGCTCACCCAAAAAGATGTCTCTCCTTTTAATTTGCGTTCTGAGTTTTTTCAAACTCTCATTTCAACAGTTTCCTCGACCATGTACATCTGCAGAAGCGCTTCTCAAGAAGGAGTGTTGTCCAGTTTGGAGTGGAGATGGATCTTCTTGTGGTGAGCTCTCTGGAAGAGGATCATGTCAAGATATTTTAATAACTGTGACTCCAAATGGATCTCAGTTCCCATTCTCTGGGGTGGATGATCGTGAAAACTGGCCATCTGTCTTTTACAACAGGACTTGTCAGTGCAACAAAAACTTCATGGGTTTCAATTGTGCGGACTGCAAGTTTGGCTTTTCTGGTGCTAATTGCACAGAACGACGATTGTTGATCAGGAAAAATATCTTTAGCCTCACAACCACTGAGAAGAACAAGTTTCTTGCCTACATCAATTTAGCTAAATACACCATCAGCCAAGACTATCAAATTGCCACAGGAACATATGCCCAAATGAACAATGGTTCAAATCCCATGTTCAAAGATATAACTGTTTATGATCTATTTGTTTGGATGCACTATTATACATCAAGAGATGCTTTACTGAAAAACTCGAATGTTTGGATTGATATTGACTTTGCTCACGAAGGTCCTGGCTTCCTGACCTGGCATAGAGCTTTTATATTGCTGTGGGAAAATGAACTCCGAAAGACGGTACGCGATGAAGACTTTACCATTCCATATTGGGACTGGAGAGATTCGGAAAGCTGTGATATCTGTACTGATGAATACATGGGAGGCCGTCATTCCACAAATCCCAATCTTCTGAGTCCTGCGTCTTTGTTTGCAGCATGGCAGGTATTGTACAAGAAATCTATTTTTTTTTATATTTCCCCAGTAAATCACAAGTTCTTTTATAGCTATTGCATTAGGCATTTGGTGAAATCTTGTTACAAAGTTAGTGAGTATGTCCTATTTATCTTCCATGTCTAATATTACATGTGGTCAAACCATTTTTCATTGCTTTTTCTATCAGCAGGTGTTTTTAATATAGACAAGTCATTAGTCCAATTCTCAATTCCTTTTCAGAGAAATATATTGGGCCCTGCCAGCCACTACATAAGTGAGGTAACAAGCAGTGTTTTGGAACTAGAACTTTGATTTCATCTTACAAGGGCTACTCTGAGTGAAACTTAAAGCTGTAACATTCAGGCTCAATAGCGAGAATAATACTCATCTAAGGATCGATCTCTCTGATATGTATTGAAGGCACTTGAATATCTAATTATTTATTTGGGTATCATATTTTAATGTTGTATTCCATGAAATCATAATATTATTATAATAAAAAATTGAATTGGTGAAAACAAATTTGCTCACTTCCAAAAATGTGGAACTCTTAAACCTTTCTCCCATATCTTTTCAGGTTTTTAAAATTTAGTATCAGTATCTTAGTTTTCCAATTTTGTTAAAATATTTAATGTGGATATTCTCCTACATGACAATATTGAGTGCACTTCAAAATTATTTAATTGGCTGTAAGGTGCTGCTGTACACCCTGCGGTTATGAAAGGCACCATATAAATGCAAGTCTTTCATTTAGCCAGGCATGGTACTGTGAAAAGTGAAATCAATATCGCCTGTTTGAATGTAGTCTCATGATTAATGATCATTCTGCTTCATGTTTTGGGAAACCAGAGGATGGTTCATTTCGAAATGAATAGGTTTGTAACTTTACAATTTGGCAAACTGCAGAACAATTGGTTTGCTCTGTGAACATCTTTATTCCACTTACTGAAAAATATGAAAGCAAATTAAATTAATAGTACAAAGCAATTACAAGGAAAATAAAATGAATGATAAGAGAGAGATTATCAGGTTGCACTTTGCACCAAACCTCCACTGCCGTTAGTCTGATCCGGTATGGTGACTGACAATGTTCAGTTCACATACATGCTGATAATATTCAAATCTGCCTCACTAGCACTTCTCTCAGCCCTGCACTACTTATGATTTTTCATGCTTCTCGTAAGTTATCCAGAACTGGAGCATAAACACCCTCCAGCTAAATATTAGGAAGAACAAAGCCATTTTATTTGGTCCTTGTCATTTTGATCCCTTTATTCTATGCTAACCCTCATCCTTTGGGTAGAATGACGTAATGAATCACTTGACAGTCAGGTCCACTTCCAACGGCAAAGAGCCCATTGTTTTACCCCAATGGGGAGAAAGCCTCTGGGCAGTCCAGGGATTTCTCCACTGAACGAAGGAAAATATAAAAAATTTATACATTTGCTTCTAATCCCTGTTGTTTGTTATTACAAACCAGCTGATACATGCATACCCAATTAATAATACAATCAGATTAATCACATAACTGCGTGATTACTTCATAGATGGCTAGCGACTGACTCATGATCTCATGGTGGTTACCTACCCCTCCTATCCATTATCCTTGTGTCTTCACAATACATTTTATTCAGTCAATTTCCAGACAACACTCCCTTCTAAATAAGAGGGTTCTCTTCAATCCACTTTACTTTCACAGGAATGTAGTTAAATCCCATAATGACTGTTTAAAACTCAGTTTTGATGTTTGATAGGTGGTCAATCTTTGTTATATTACTTTGCTATTGAATACAATACAAGGCTATGCTTTTACTACATTACAGTTTATTACTATAGGTAGCTTCACGATGGTTCTCTACACAAGCATTCACATCTTTTCTGTGTGACAGCTCATTGTATACGTTTCACAGGAAGATTTGTGTTTTCTGTATCTAGTTACGTTGAATGTACTCTCTTTATGAAGGCATCTAATTACTCTAGATTACAGTTGGACTTTGAAACAGTGGATTGCCCAAGCTGTTGTTTCAGATTTAAAAATCTTCCCCAGCTATTTTGTTATCAACTGAGGACCACTTTCAGCCATTTTATTGCTGCTTCAAACCTGGCCAGCCCTAACACCGACTATTATCTGAAGCTGAACCACCATTTTCACAACAATGTCATCCTACAAGAAGGCATAGGTTCAAGTTGAGATGGGGAAAGTTTCGGGGAGAAGAGTGGGGAAAAATGTTTCACGCAGAGGGTGCTGGATGCCTGGAATGCACTACTAGTGGAGGGTGTGGAAGAAGGCAATGTGTAAGGTGTATCTTATTTGACACATGAATTTGAAGTGAACAGAGGGACTGAAACCACGTATGGGCAATAAGTAGTGGGTCTAAATAAGGATTAGGAATCGGTGCAGGCTTGATGGCCTAGTGGACCAGTTCTTGTGCTGCATTGTATTGTATATTGAACCATGAGATAAGATTCCAATCAGGTATTCAGGTCATCACTAAAAGTGTCTTTTCCAATTTCCTCTGTGTTTCTGAGTATCTCTTTCTGTCTCTGTCTTTGTCTTACTGTCTGTCCGTCTCTGTGTGACTATGCTGTCTCTTTAAGAGGTTATTTTGTCCATTGTTTTTGGAGAGAGGTTGTAAGGCAAAGATCCCAAGCTGTCTTCAAGACAGCAAACAATTTGTCAGGACTTGGTTTTTTTTTCTCTGAAAGGTTGGAACAATGGAATTAGCCTGGGTGTAGCCAGCTCTCTCAGAGCAAGTTTGCCAGGGTTTTTTTTAGTTTAAGTTTACTTTTAAGCAGAAGCCTTTGTATCTTGAGTTGGAAACTTTAGTGAATATCTCCTAGCTGCTGTTCTCTCTGAATCTTCTCTTGACTTTTTTTTCCTCCTGGATTAGAGAACTGCATGTGAGAATCTGTGTCTGAATTTGCCTTTTTGCCAAGGGGTATGTTTATTGGACATTACTATATTGGAACATTTAATTAATAATAGATGCTGTATTTATTGTTTGGTTAAGGTTTCAAATAATTAAGTTATCCTAAATTCTTCTTTCTTTTTTGTTTGTATTTTAACTATAGTGTTTAAATAAATTGTGTTTTGCTTAATGTTGAGTAGTTTGACCAGTCATATTGCACCTGGAACATGGCACTTCACATCTCCCTTTAAAATGAGAAAATTAGGATCTAGGCTATATTAAAATATATTGAGGGATTCTGGTCTGGTCCATAACATTCTTTGTCTCTGTGTCTCTCTTGACACCACTTGCAAATTTCTGGTTGAAACAAATGCTTTCTCTCGCCAGCTTATGTTTTCTGAATTCTCTTTTTTCCATTTTTCTTTTTCCTCACTTTTCAAACTTTCTTACTTTCAGTTCCCTTTGCCCTTCTCTTCCATTTCTCTTAGTTTCTTGCTAACCCCTTCTCATTTTTCCTTCCTCTCTTCCTCCAGTGCAAGTCTCCAATTTTTTTTTTCACCCCTAAGTCAACTTTTTATTAATTTCTAAATGAATATGTGCCAGTTCTAGTGGTGATGCACCAAGTTCAGGTTTCCTGCCATTTAATTCTAAATATTTAGTTTTAACATTTCATCCTTACAAAATCTTACTTATTTTTAACATCAATTTATTGGCTAACTCTGTAGTTTTCATCAAATGTATCAAATCAACTGTTATAATTTTACCTCCTGGAAAAGTCTCTGCAACTGTCAAAGTCCATTTTATTATCAGTCTGTGTAATATACTTCACAACTCCTCTCTGTTCAGTACCTCTGAAAGATTCACAAATCCTTCTTAAATTCGATGGATTACTATTCCCACCAAGAGTTTCATTTTATGATCTGAATCAATGGTGATAGTGATGTGTCTAATCCAAGGTCAGTTCTGGCTTGATAGACCACATATTTTATTATTTTTGCAATTTATTTGCCACTTTTTTTTGTTCATGTGGAGGTGCCAGTATTCGATTGGGATGGACAAAATCAGAAGTCGCAGCAAAAGGTTCTATTTGAAATCACAGCCTTTCAGAGTGCTGCTCCTCTTGTCAGTTGAAGTGTTTAGCTTTTTTTTTTGAATTAAGAGTGGAAACCTGAACTTGGTATACTAGAATTAGTGCACATTCATCTGAAAATTAATAAAAAGTTAACTTCACCTAACAAAGGAGTAATGCTCGGAAAATTTTGCGATTTCAAATAAACCTGTTGGACTATAACCTGGTGTTGTGACTTCTGCATTTGTGTTCAGTCACTGAATATAGTCACATGAGACTGCTGATTTAAGTTTCGGCAAAAAAAACAACTTTTGTGGAGTAAACTTGTATAGAGAGGACCACTTTGAAAGACCTTATCATAGACAGTCAAAAGAAAGATTATGCATGATGGAGCTGGAGGAACGCAATAGGCCAGGCAGCATCAGAGGAGCAGGAAAGTCAATGTTTTGGACTTCTACCCTTCATCAGGACTGGGAATGGGGAAAGGAGCTCAGAAATAAATAGATGGGGTGGGGCTGGGGGAAGGTAGGTGGGATGGTGATGGGTGGATGCAGGTAGAAGGTACCAACCACAGTATCCACAACCGGAGCTACAAATCTACTTGAGGATATAGACACCTACAGGTGCAACATGCTCAAACTGGCCCAGAAATGAGAAACCTACGCCAAATGATAGAACACTATCCGCTAGCAACTCTACTTCCTGCACGGATACCTCAGAAACCAGGTATTACTGCGCAGTGTGAGATACAAACCTCCAATCAACAACCCACAGGCACATAGGACAGCAGAGCACAATGGCCACAGAATGATGAAGGTAATGATTAACGACGCCCACAACCGACTCCACAGATATGACAGGGAAGTTATGTGCCAAAAATCCCTATACCTAGATGCAACCAACTTACAGTGAACAACAGACTTAGAATGAGCCATTAACATCAGTCAACAGAGAAAACTAAAACCAAGAAAAGACACATCCTACATGAAAAACTAGCCAAATTAACCAACCAAAATGACAGACAAAGATTA